TGCTTGTGCTTCCATAATGTTGAATTCTAATATTGCATGATCACTTCCTCCCAGGGTTCCTATGGCTTCAACACCTTCTATCATTTCATCTCTGTTAGTGAGAATTAGATCCAAAATGGCTAATCCCCTAGTTCCCTTCTCTACTTTTTGGGAGACAAAGTTGTCTGCTAGGTTTGCCAGGAACCGGTTTGATCTTCCAATTGGTGCAGAGTTTGTGTCCCAGTTGATGTCAGGGTAGTTAAAGTCCCCCATTACTATTGTGCTAGCAGCAGTTGATGCAATATAGAACGTCCCAGCAGCTCCGGCAGGAGTTGAAATGGAGTTTAAATACAAAATAAATACACTATAAATGAAATGGAGATCCAATCAGGGCCTAGCTACTTTCCTGGTGGATCCTCCCAAAACTTACAGTTCTGTCAGTCATGAAGTCAACAATGCCCCTCTCCTCGTTTTGCCAAAATGATAGAGGGAAGCAACACCACTCCTTGCTTTGTCTCTCTGCATATCTCTAGCATTCAAAGTTAGACCATACTTGTATAATTCCACCCCATCATCTGAGCTGATTGATTTCTGTTGAACAGTAATGTCTCAGACTATATTTTAGAGCAATTTCATTTCTACTATACTGGAGGTCTAGAGCAGGGGTCTCCAATCTTTTTGGTTGGCAGACCGGTGGGAGAGGGAGGGGCAGATGCCTTACGCGTGCATGCGCAAATATGAATGTGGTCACATGTGCATACGAACAGGCTGAAAGCATGCACACCACGCAAACAGGGCTGTGAGCACGTGCGCAAGGCTCTCAGTGATGGTGGTGCCTGTGTGAGGCTTGTGACGCCGGTGCCACCAGGCTCATGGTGATGCTACCACCAGCACAAGGATCATGCCACGGCCTGCAGCAATGCTGCCCTGGCGCGAGGATCGCACTGCAGCCCACCTGCTGCCGCCACCTACATGTGGTGCACCATCACCCACCTACCGCTCACACTACTTCTACCCCCCACGCAAGGTTTGTGGCAATGCCGCCGCCTGCCCGATACTAGCGACGCTGCCACCGCATGCACAACACTTGCGTCAATGGTGGGACAAGGGGGGGGGGTAAACACATGCACATGCACTGCCCAGCTACTCACACGGCCTGGTGGCCAGGAGGCCGGGCCTGGTAGTGGGCTACAGCCCATAGTGTGGGGACCTCTGGTCTAGAGAGCTTTGGGATAATCTGGTTTCTCCTAGGTGAAAATTATATCATCCCATCTCCTTGGCTAAACCCACCCTCTGCATTCCCAGTTGAGCATCTATTTTCAGTTTTCTTAGTAATCCCCAGAAAAAAATGTACACAAATAGAAATAAAATGGGAACTAGAATCAGGTGCTACTAAGGGTTATTTCTTATAGGCTCTGACTGATCAGTAGGAGAAAGCACTGACTGATTGAAGATGTTTTTGGTATTTCAAAGGTTGATTTTAAACTGTTTTTAAGTAATTGTGTATATAAAGCATAGCAATGTGGAAGTGCTCTATAATCTCAATAATAAAAACAAAGAGGACACAAAAAGAAGCATTGCTGCCAGAAAATGAGACAAAACCTTCAGGTTGGTTTGCAGACACTGCCCTCCCCACTTAGCCATTTTTTAAAAAATTGCCTTGATTTGTTTATTAATAGAGCTACAAATCTAAAGGAGAGTAAGCCTTTTTGCTCAGTGGATTTCTGTTAGGAATTTTAATTTTTGACTAACCTTCCTTGCTGCAATGAAGAAGTCATTGGCTTCTTGCAACAATGTTTTCCGTTCTTCAAAACAGCGATTTACTTCTTGTTCCAGTAAGTTCATTTTTTTATTTGAAAGCTTTAGATGCTCTTTTTCTGCATACTCCTCTGAAAATAGAATTTTGAGTGCCTCTGATTTTAATCCTTGCAGAGAGGAATTCCATTCCTGGGAAGAGAAGTGTGACTCAGTTGATTATCTGTCAGTGGTGATTTAGATTCAAGTTACTTGATTCACAACAATAATCATAGATAAGAATAAAATCCACACTAATCTAAAACACCCATGCGTCAAAAGATAACATAACATAAATAGCCACAAGAAAACACCGAAATCAGCTTGAAAATAATAAAACTGAAATATTTGATGTGATAATAATCTAACAACAATAAATGTTCCTTCCATATATAATGGTTGCCAGGGAAAGAGGTAGTTAGATATCTCCGGGCAATGAATTTCAAAACTGAGAAATCTTTATTCAGTCTGAAAAATCTCTCTGCCAATGCTAAATTATGTATTAACAATCTACTGTTTAGTGCAACATTTGCACTAATTTTAAAAGCAAATCAGCTTGTCCCCCCCCCATAATGTATGTATTACTTCTGCATAGAAATTGTTATTTTTGATTTCCCCTCATGTCCTACTGCGCTGCCTCAATGTGACAGAGGTATGTGTGTGTGTGTGTGGGTGTGGGTGGGTGGGGTGTGGGTGTTCCTGGGAAGGATAAGAAACAAAGATGAAACAAATATATTGAAATACTGTACAGTAGAGATGTCAACATTAAATATTCCTTAGAAGATATTCCATACTTATAACTATAAGATGTATAAGATAGCACTGAACTCATTACCAAGTAGGAAGTCTGCAGGAACTGATGGAATGCTCACAATGGCGTGATAAGCAAAGTTGGCCAACAGATTGGAAGAGACCAATCTACATTCCAATCCCCCAAAAGGGAGAGTAACCAGAGTGCGCAAACTACTGTGTAATATCTTTAACTTCACATGCTAGCAAAAAATAGAGAAGACTCTAATACTGGGAAAGGAGGAAGAAAAGATACCAGGTGAACAGTAGTCATGAGACAATGACTACCTGTAGAAAGGCAGATGGATTCAAGTACAGTGGTGATGGGTGCACTATTGAAAGATCTGCAGGACCAAGGAAGGGACAAATTGTCATAAAGAAAATTTACATATTTGATTGTTAAGAGTCAGCACCTACTTGATGACACATAATCAATCACTAATAAATTACATTTAATTTGCACACTTTGAAAAAAAATGAGAATGCTATTTTTTCTCCGAGATAGCATATATCAAAAGTCATTGAATTTTAGAATATTACAATTCTTTAAATGATCTGTATTTAAGGTCAATAAGAAAAAATAATGTTATCTTTGGTGTCTCAAAGAAGCTACCACATTTAGTGATGGGGACACTATAACTACATATCTGAAATTCCTGAATTAGCAGTTGTGCTGTAGGCTTTTAGCAGAGGTATACAATCAGCATCCCTGAAACACTTACATGCTGTCTCCAGCTCCTTGCCAAGAAGGTTACTGAATTGTAATTTTTAAGGTGACAAAAGAGGAAAATTATTGAGAATATACTTAATTTGTATACAATTATCTGATTTAAATTCAATCTTTTTTTTTTTTTGCCCTGGCCCCATTTGGGGTGGGGGCTTGATGTTGTGATATATTTTGAGTGTGACTCTTGATATGCCAGTCAAAGACCAAGGTGACTTTTGGTTCCAAAACAGGTATGCATCCCTTGCTTTTGTTAATATTTTGCTTGGGGACAGGCAAACATTTACATATGATGTGATGTATGACGTATTCCCCATAGTTTGGCCCTATCTTATAGAACAGAGTACATACTGTAAGTAAACTACTTTCTTACAGAACAGAAATAATGCTGAAAGTTACAGCAATTACTCCCCACAGGAATGGGATTGGGACATTTGTTAGGCATTCAATATGCCATTATTATTATTATTATTATTATTATTATTATTATTATTATTATTATTATTATTATTATTATTATTATTATTATTATTATATAGTAATGCTTCTTTTCTACCCTCTCTTTTGCCGATTATGTGAGGTTGAAATAAAAAGAAATTAATAGAATTATTTTAAAGCAACTCAAATAAAGGTCCTGATTTAAGAATAGTTTAGGATGCGAGTAAAGCTTTCATTAGAGGTCATTTTATCCAACACAATACTGAACTTAAAAGGAAGACTCAAGAGAAAAATGCATGCTGGATGAGATGAAAAGAGGAAGAATTAAAGAAATTGCCAGAAAAGATAAGCATTTCACATCAAATTAAACTATTATAGCAACAACTATCTATGTGAACAATAAGAGAACTGGAAATGACGATGAACTATGCTAAACAAAAGAATTTTAAATTTGCCAACAAACCAGGGAAATGGTTAGCATATCAATTAAGAAAAGAGAAATGAAAATGATTCTGAAACTTTAAGATGGAGATACTATATCAACGGACAATGTGGCTATACAAAAGTTTTTATGTACAGTATTACTCTAACTTGTATAAAGGACATGATATTTCCTTGGAAAAAATAGACAATGCTTGTAAAATAACAAAAGGCTTACAGAGAATGAAAGATAGATTATGAATGGACTTATAATAAAGAAAAGCTTCTGAAGCAACCAGGGAAAGTACCAGGACTAGATTAAGTACAAGGTTCTTTATTTAAGATTTCTGTTTAGGTGTGTTTTTGTGTATGTGTGGGTACACACACATACTTTTTTTTTTATCATAATGGGTGGATATGCAAAAAAGCTTTAAAAAATGGTTGAAATATATACATTAATTCAGAAATTTTTAAACCAGAGAAGTTTCTTCTGGGGCTGATAGATCAAAAGCTGCAAAACACTCATGGAACTTTGCTTCATTTCTTGGCTTGAGAGAAGCAAACATTCCCTTAGTAACATCTGAAGATCTACTGAGTTCTCAGTAAATTACCCTTTTTTCTTTTCAGATATTTACTTGCTAACTTGTTTTGTACGGCTGAAAAATGTATTGCACAGATATTTCTGACAACTGATGTGTAAATGTTAAATGATGCACATGAGTGCATCCTTAGTTCTATTAGTTATGGTCTATTCTTCAGTTCTTGTTCAATTTGAAATATTTGAAATATGACTGATAGCAATTATTAGTTGCCAACCAAGGTCCTTGAATACCTATTACTCACTGTGAACAAGACACTAATGTGATAGACCTTCCCAATGGTGAGTTAAGATATAGAAAACCCCATTTATAAACA